GATGATAAGTCATCATATGGGTCAACTCAGTTCACCGTCCATCCGGTCCGGTCACTGCCGGTGCGGCCGGGCACTGACTACTATGAGTCGCCTCCCCACCCCCCCGCCGGCTTCACTGAGGTCATCGGTGATCCAAGTTCCGAAGTTCCCACTCGGCTCAGCTGGAACTCAGTGCCAGCCAGTGGGCCGACACTGAGGGGCGATGGACTGGCAACAGCTACTAGGGTCGAGTCAACTTTATTAGATTCAAATGCACACTCTGAAAAATGTAGTGTCCATGCTTCAAGAAGGAGCACGAGAACAGATCGGACTGGGACAGACACAACCAAAACTAAACTTGAACCAAATTAGTTAAAAAGTTATCTAGAGTCATTAGGGTAGAGCGTAGCATGAAGACTGTCCAACATCTCCCACGTCTTCGCCTTGTCCTGAGGGGATGTGCTGTTCTCTGGGCATATGGCACCATGAAGACGATCCAGCATATTCCAGCAACACTCGTGGTCGATCACGTACGAAGAAACCGAGCTGGCTTCTTCCAGCACCAACTTGTTCGCGGGCACATTGGCCACTCCCAACCCAGCTTGAGAGTAGGTATCACCGAAACCTTGTGCCGAGGTAGTCCAAGAGCCTTTCACGTTGGACTTTGCGCTGTTGGTTGAATTGGAGTGGAAGAAAATTGATTGGAGGTCGAGGAGCGCGTCCTCATTCTTCCAGTTCTGGTTTGCGACAGAGAGGGCTGAAGAAACGTCGTCACTGAAGTACATCTTAAAACCAGGGATCCAAGATGCGATTATGCAGGTGTTATTGGACCAGGGAAAACTGTGTGAGCAATCAAAAATATGGAGTCTTCACCAACAGCTTCTTGTGGTTGTGAACGACCGACTGTGCTATGTTGCTTCTTTTGACGCTGAGGGTTGAGAGGAAGGATAGGAGGCAGGAGGAGGTCCAGAAAGTTCAGAAACAGGGATGGGAGGAGGATGCCGGATAGTTCTGGGTCAACAAGGAAGCAGCGAGGACGATGGCGCGGCAAAGGTTTGTGGAGGTTGGCGGGATGCAGTCCTTTTTATAAAGCGCCGGTACGGGTGGTGATGCTAAAATTGGACAAGGAGGGGAACTTTTATAGTATGAAAAGGGGGTGGTATCAAGCTTTTAAAACTAGACGCCAGCAATGAATAGGTGGGTGCGTTGCTTGTTGACCTTCAGATGTGGAGGGGTGGTCAACAGGCTGGGCTCATCCCTACTACCCCTACCACCCTCACTACCCCTAATTGAAAAGAGGGGTGCAAGTCGTTAGATGTCACTATCTCACTACCCCCTACTTGGTGGGGTCCACGTAGAGGTCAGATACACAAGTGTAAGGGTTGATCAAATTTATATAGTTTTAGAATTTTCAAAATATCTACTTTCATGGATATATAAAATATTGTTTTAAATAAGAGAGTCGTAGAAGCTTTGCTGTATTTTGTATCTTTCGGCGGAAAGGGTCAACCGCAAAATTTACAGATTTCAAGTCATCTATGAATATTACACGTAAAATTAGAAACTTGAATGACACATATCTCAACCCTTCTTTAAATTTTATTGCTAGGTTCAAAAACTGATTTCAAACAGTCGGTTGGACCACCAAAATAAGCAATGGCTTTTCGGAGATCCCTCAAACTCCGTGGCTCTTCGTTACCGCGGGGGGTTCATGAATCTTCACGAGTACCCCTCAAGTCTGTGTACCCCCGATTTCCCTCCTTTACCCTCTCAGAATGATGTGAACGCACCTGCCACGCTGTACTGGTACAAATTTCCGTTACAAACTTGAGGTTGAATTGTAACCGCCGACCAAGCTGATGAGTGAAAGGAAGAGTTGGGCGGTACTGTACGGGGCAGCTCAAAATCTGACTATATCTTTGACACAAAGTTTTGCTGCCCTGGTATATCCAATAATACTCTGAGGCAATATTTGCAGACCGGTTTCCCGCGCTGGCCCTTGTGATGGCGGCTCTTACCTCCCTGGCGGAGTCCCCGCCCATGGCGCCGGAAGCAGAGGCCTCCTCCGGCGTCAAGAAGCTCTCCGAACCATCTTCTACCTCCTCCGGTGTCAAGAAGCTCTCCGAACCATCTTCTGCCTCCGGCGTCAAGAAGCTCTCCGAACCATCTTCCTCCTCCGGTGTCAAGAAGCTCTCCGAACCATCTTCCTCCTCCGGTGTCAAGAAGCCCTCCAAACCACATTCTTCCTCCTCCGGTGTCAAGAAGCCTTCCGACCAATCTTCTTCTTCGTCCCGCGTCCAAAGAACCCAACGGATGAGCTTCAGGGGGTATCCCGGCAATGCTGGCTTCAAGAGGTTGGTGCTGTTTACCAAGACGATGGCGGACGCCCTGCCTCGCCGGCGCATGGCAAGAAAGAGGGAGAGCAAGATTTTCTTCGAGAAGCTCACTGAGACTCTCAACCGAGATCCCCTGTTTGGCGGTGCGCTCAAGTACTGCACTGCCAGGGACAAGGGCACGGAGGTCATAAAGATCACGGACAAGATCATTGCGGACGGGGAGGAGGACTACCTGATGACGATTGAGAATGAAGGAAGAGACATAAATGAACTCGATGAGCTCTATATTCAGATTGCCCGGATAAGAAACTCCTTGGCCAAACAAGAAGGAGACGTGAAGACCAATGGGGCTCCTCAGCCGACAGATGGTTCACTGTCCGAGAAGCTGAATGATTGCAGCGCTGCCAGTGCTGCTGCTATGGAGGATACTCCGATGGTGAACCAAGAACCGTCAGCCCGTGAGGAGCGAGAGCCAGAGGCTGAGCAGAGATCGTGCAAACGTGCGAAGCCAAGCAGGGATGTCGAGGTCGAGCAGGAGAGCGAATCTAGCAACGCGGACGAGAGCGACGCTCCCGATGCAATCCTCGACTTTGTGGACCAGATTGAGTCGTCGTTTACAATGATGGTCCGTTCTTTGGAGGCAAAGGCGCGGGAGAGGGCTGAGATGGATCGAGAGTTGCAAAAGGTCCAGTTGGAAAATGAAAAGAAGCTCAGCAATTTCAGGTCTCAGTACGAAACCCTCCAGAAGAAGATAGCGCAGCAGATGCAGCACAACAAAGAGATGGAACACAAGATTGAGATGCTGAAGTCAATCCTTTCACGTGAGGAACAGAACGCCAAGAACGACTTGAGAAGTTTGACTGTCCTCGCTCAGTCAGTAAGTTCCTTGGATTGAAACGAGAGAGGGGGGCATTAAACGGGAACTTTCACAAAGAGGATCATTCAGGCATGTTTAGAAATATCTTTCCACGATCTACGATCCAACCGATCACCCTCGCCTTCGACCAGAGCCGCAGGAATCATCGATCACCCAGTACAGACGCAGGATCATCCTCGGGGATATCTCCATGGTACCTTGTGAAATCCCATTAGCCATGGAGCGGTACCCTACATGCCAGGTGCATGGCGGAGGCAGGAGAATTTCTCACTTGAAGTCCATGGGCAGGCTTTCGCTGGAGAGCGAGGGGAACTGTTTGTTTATCAGCTGCAAAGAGATTTTCTGTTATGTCGACAAATGATTTCATGGTGAGTTCCACCTCAATCAAGGCGTCGAACAGGATCTGGTTCCCAGATGCCGACAGGTGCAGGCCGTCGGAGAAGTGAGCTTCCCACCCCTTCTCCTGACCGCCGCAGACATGGGATGGGTAGGAACGAGAGAGAGAACGTCAGGCAAGGAGACGAAAGTTGAATTGAGAATGAATGAAGAAAACCTTGTGCAGGATGTTGAAAAGATCCAACACAGGACAAGACATCCTAGCCGCCAACTCTGAGCATGCTACCGTCCCCATCAGCTCGAAGCAACCTCACGTCATCAGCTCACCTCTTGCGTACTTCTCTACATGCTCCAGCTCCCGCTGTCCCAACCCAGGACCGCCCTGCAGTGACAGGGCACGTGTGACTCCCTCCTCACGAGCAGCATCTGCCGACCTTGTTCGCATCCCATGTTGCGGCATCGACCGGAGGAGGAGAGATGAGCACCTGCGGTGGAGGGAGACACTGTGTGAGAACACGCGGGGTTGAGGTGAAACTTACTATGACAGACTCCGGCCAGCCTGCCCTCATCATCTTCACCAACTCCTCCATGTTCTACACAAGGACTATCAGCGATGAACTGGAGCGCACGCGGTGCTTGCTCACTTGTATGTACTCCGGCAGAGGAACATGCTGTCTGCAGCTCTCGACCTGCCATCAGCACTCACAACCCTGGCAGAACCATGCGCAGGCCGTCACAGCGGCGTCGTTTGCTCCGAGGAGGATTGTCGCCAACACCGGAGGGTTCGATTTGTGCTCCTCGATTATGGCAGGTAGGATCAGCTTCGCCCACCTGCTGTTGTACCTGGAGGAGCTCGTCACCGTCCTCAAGTGCTCGCCCTCCTCTCCTCTCACCCTGAGAATCCTCTGTTGACGATGTCTACGCTACGCTTCTGTGCCACATAAAGATCCTGCAACAGTGACGCCCAACCCAGGGGGTCAACCTGCGCGAAGCTGAGTTGATGATTGCCGGCCAGTGCATGCAGAGAGCAAGAAATATGTCTCTTTGATATCTCCTGCCACACTCGGCATCGAGCATCGTCATCGTCTTCTCTTACCCACCTCAACAGCACATGTACTCCTTGCTCTTGGAAATCCTGCCCTCCATCTCTTATCCTCAAGATCCTCTCGCCCTTCCTCTAGCCACCATGGTCTCTTCTGCTCTCCCTCGTCATGGCTTCGCTCCTCTCCTTACCTTGCTTCCAAACTGCGTGATCGAGTCTCCGAACAGCAGCATCTGTCTCCTGCCCCGAGCCACCATCGCCATCGCCCATCAGTCTCAAGAAGGTACCCCACCCCCACCATGACACACCCTCTCTGACTCTCATCGCTCGATTTTAAGACCCCTTTATATTTAGATAAATGGTGGGGTACTATAAGTTAATTTGAGGGTAGGGTACATGACACCCACCCCTTGCAGAGAGTACCCCACCCAGTCTAATATACTCGTCCTCTGTATTTCTTGATCATGCTGGGGGAAGAATGTGAGAGCGCGGGGGACTTCGGCGGGAGGAGGAGGAGGAGGAGGAGGAGGAGGAGGAGGAGGAGGAGGAGGAGGAGAAGGAATTCATGGTACACGATAGCGAAGGGGGATCACAGGCTTTGAGGAAGTGCAGTGGGAGGAGAGGAGTAGGGAG